ATAGAAAAGATCGCAGTAATCACCACGCTTGTTGAATACGAATTTGTGATTCAAACTTGGGTGTTATTAGAAATTATAAGTCCAGGTTTCCTTACGATATTTTCCTTCACAGTTGTATTTTCCTTGACAAACTGTGAAAAAATAATAATGACATTTTTATTTATTTTGGAAATGACCACGACCACGACCTCGGATTTCATAACTTACTATCTGGCAACCCTAACTATTCTACAAAAACATAATAGGTAGTATTAAAGTACTATTTACTTACCTAACAGTTTACTTACAGGATAAAACCCAACAATAATTAGTAAGTCCACAAGTAAATCTGTTATACATAGGAACGTTAATTGAAAGTCTTAATTAGAACCATGATTTATAGGAAATACCTTAAAGAATCTATTTTAAAATATCTAATTACCTATTTGTCGTGTTAGAATAGAATGAACGAAGAGCATCAACAGATTTTGAGATTTTTTTTTTTTGTTGTAAACAATAATTATTAATAAATTTATTTTTGGTGTTTTCTTCATTTTGTCAATTAGGCTGTGCTGTTAGGGTTTCTTAATTTAAAAACATTTTTTTTTTATTAATTTCGACTTTTCGATACAATAAAATACAAAAAGAATTTTTTGACGATAACTTCCTTAATTTTCTTATATTTCGACCTGTTAGTATAAGTTGTTACAATATAATATGTATAATTGCCATTAAAACAAATAATAATTTTTAAAAAGAGTAACGATGGAGTTTCTTGCTCGTTCTTCTCCATTCGAAATTACAATTTGGAACGAGCACCCAGATTCTCTGACGAGCAGACTGACAGACTACTGTTCTATTTTGACGTTTCAAGTCCTATTTACCTTTTTTTTTAAGTACCTATTTATGGTTAAGTTGGAATAAATTATTTTGATTTGATACCTATTTGTCGCAAAAAATTACGACGTAAATGACTACAGAAGAAACTACAGAAGCAAATACTCAGCTGCAGTCACAGTAACAGACGGACAGAAACACATATTTTTGTAGTTATCATATAAGCGTCCAGGTGTACGATTTAGACTATGAGTCATCATTTTGATGACCAATAAACCACACTAATGTGTAACCACAGAGTAAAACAATTATACGTTTTGACGCCACCGCGCGTAATGCGGTTGTGTGCAGAAATAATGATACTGGCCGTTGTAACATAACGTGTTATGACGTGTCTATGGACAGTCCGCCATGCTTTTATTGTACAGTTTATAAAATACAGATCAATGCAATATACATAGAGACAGCTGTAGCTATTGTACCAACGCTTTTTTGTGTGGGATTTCGAGCAGAATGATTACCTGATGGTAAGCAATCGGCGCCGTCCATGAACAATCACAACAACGGAGAAGTAACGAGTGCGTTGTCGACCTTTTAAGGATTAGAATTTGGGATATCTAGGGAGTGGGTCGGGATTGGAAACACATGGCGAAACACTATGCTATGGTTGTTTCGCGACGATTTTCTTTGAGGCCGTGGTATCACTCCGATCAATACGACCCATTTGTCTCTTTTACACTTAACCAACTTTTAACCAATCCATTTTTTTGGTAAGCCCATAATAAATAGCAACAGCTAATAAATAGTCCGTCAGTGAAGCTAGGTGCTCATTCAGAAATGTAGATTCAAATAGAGAAAAGCAAGCAATAAGCTCCATATAGCTCAATCTCGCTTCCAAAGAGCTAATTGACCATTACAGATAGGGCCCAGCAGGGCCGATGTTAAGCCGGGGTTGTGGGTCAAGCTACTCCGTGGGTCAAGCACAACAAAAGTACCGCAGTCTTGGCCTACAGCAGGAAAAGGAATGGGGTTTTTTAGTCATCAAGAATCTGGCACACCCTCTCGCTTCACCGTAGACAAGAGAAGCCATCTAATGATTTAAAGTCCTCAAAAACTTCAACCTTTTTAAACGAACAAGTGATTTTAAAATCCTTTAACGTATCTTGATCAACACTTCAGAATGAATACGAGCTGTTATTCGTTGTTATCCCGCTAGGTTTCATGTATGAGTAATCTTAGTACAAACTTACCAACATATGGCGATGGACGAACAGATAATAAATTCCCATGACGCATTGCATTCCAAATCACTGCATCGAACATTGAAGGTGATTGTACCAAACACAAGCCGTTCTTTAGGAAGTTACGGAGCGGAAACGGTACTTACATAAAGTAGGAATTACCAGAACCCATCTACAGTTCTCAGAACCAGAATCTAATCTAACATTTGAGAGTCTTTCCGTAGTAATCCGGTTCAAAATCTGAATTTGGGAATTCCACACCGCTTGCCTCACTTGTGCTACTGAGGACTTTTGGGAAAAACCTAAAATGTAAAAAAAGAAATGTATTAAATATTTTAAGTAGTTTTGAACTCCTTGCTCAATAATCTCACTTTAAAAAAAGAATGTAAAGAAACTATCTACTATTCAAAGAATGAGATAAATAAACAGTCATCATACTCTTTTTGAGAAATCAAACGATATTGTCTTCATATTAAAATAGCATTGTATGAGTAGTGGTTTCGTGGGCACCATGGATTAAAATTATAGTGGAAAAGTCAGCCATCAATTCAATTCAGCTCAATCTCCGTCATTTTCGATCTGTTTTCACGAAGAGTAAATTACGAAACCACTAAGTGACTTTAAATACATTACTGTCATAGGAACATTATATTTCGTTCCCACAGATCCGCACATTTTTCGCGCTTGCCTGCTTCCTCATAATAATAAATACGACAACTCTATTAAGATCCACCCATATTTTTCTAGAATCTTTCCCAACTTGTCCCACAATGTTTATCCCATACCCGATTTCACTTATCCTTTTAGGAAAATGTAGCCCTATAATAAAATGTATGTAGGTACCACGCAGCTTGAACGGGGTGGTTTCCAGTTAGTAAAAGTCTAACCCTTTTTCCACCCGCATCCCTTAACCCAGGTCGAGAGAAGCCATTTGTTAATTTGCCCATTCAAAACACCCTATGATAAAGGCTTCAATTTTTCACACTAAGTACACATTTTCCCTGAAGTGTTCTTGGTAATCAAAGCGGAACTTTAAAGTATAATAAGCTACAATTATATCAGATCTAGATACTATAAGTAATGTGTCTGTATTCTATATGCAATCCCCCTCGTGGATAAACCCATGATGTTTTGCGAATCATCAATTCGACACACCACCCACTACCAACTACACGTGTTATTAATATTTCATTCAAGATAGGTATTGCGAGTCACGCCAGATGATTCACTTAACTTGATATAACAAGCTACATCTTAATTTATATTAGTAATCAGCCGTCATTGTTTAGATGACCCAACGAACTTCCTTCTGCCTTAGAATCAATAAGCCATTCCAACCAAAATAGATTTTCTTCTTATTTTTTCCTAATTTCATTTCGTTATGATTAGGATTCTTTTTTCGAGTTATATGTTCTTTTTATGGTTATTTATACACCACTGAGATACGGTGAAGGAAAATATCGTACGGAAATCTGCCCTTCCGTCATCAGTAAGCGTGATGATTAATACTCAAACTTTCTCCGTATGAGAAGAGGTATTTATTTGCTCAGCAGTGGGCACTTATTCGCTATAAGTGTGATGTGTGTTAAAAACTAAAATTAGACAGAAATTAAATCGGTACCTACCTATAAAAAGGTCTTAATAATGATGTAAAATTGATTTAAATATAAAGTTGTGCAATGCATTGGTAGCTCCTATATTTTGTGATAGCAATGCATTTGTCTATTATCAGCCTTTTGGTATGGGTGAATCACACGACGAAACAAAACGCCGGGTTTCCATGAGACCACGGTATTGCGCCGGTCGAGCCAGCCAATAGCCATGCTTTCACACGAACCGTGGCTCTCCCTTACTGGCCTTTTTTGTGAGCGGAAAATCATTCAATGAGGCGAAAGGGAGTGTCAGCCTCTTACTGACTGAAAACACCCCGTTCCTTCTCCTGATCTAGGCCACGGCTGCAGTGCCCTAACTGACCTAATTTCCAAAGATATATGACTAGAAAAATACCAATGCAGCCACTTTTTGCTACTTTGATAATCACGGCAAGCTTATTGCCAAGTAAACACATGTTGCTATGAACACTGACAATGAAAAAGAAGATAGATACGTTTATGAACTTTTAGGAAAATTAAATGAAATAATTTCAAAAGACCGACACAGGAATCGCATCTGAATCTCCATATGGTATCTTGACAGACTAGTAACGAGTTGAAGGTCGCAGTTCCTTATAGTCTTGCGTACACGCACATTTCAGTTGAAACGAGTACCGATGACTGATACTATCAGTATATTTATTCGTATACCGAGCGAGTTCACATAGGTCACGTGTGTGTAACATGTTACATTTTCGGGGCTCTAATTGTTCTTCCGAATTCAATAATGGCGAGATCTTGTAACAAAATTCGGTCGGGTGCAATGCGGATACCTACTAAACTCCATTATTTAATTAATGCTGTTATACCTACATATTATTATAAACTTTCTTCTTCAATCACTCTATCTATTAAAAAACCTCATCAAAAACCGTTGTATAGTTTTAAAGATTTAAGCATACATAGGGGATATAAGGATAGAGAGAGCGACTTTGTTTTATACTATGTAGTAAATTATTTTTAGAATATTTAATTAATGCAAACCACGATACAAACAAATATCATATAATACAAAATACAAAAGAGGACAACAAATCTTATTAAGAGTTTTTCGCCTAAATTAGGCAGGTGAAGGTCGTTAGACAGGCAAAACAGCCATTTACTTAATTAAAATAAAAGCCCGTTATAGTTTTCGTATTGATTTTGCGAAAATATTAGCTGACGTTGGTTCCATAGAATTCGCACGTTTTAGGGACTATCAGATAAATGTTGATGAAATCTAGTATTGAATACAATTTTTAGGTAAGTAACTATTGTTTGCGATAATTAAACCACCCTTATTTTGTTTCAGAATGAATTAACAAGATGACACTGTCAACCAGCCGGCAACAGTTCCTGGCTTATGAATCCCAAACACCAGAAGACATCCACTATGGAAGAAGGGGAGGAATATTCATATCAAACTGCATTTGTGTAACGTTCATAATTTTTGCCGTCCTTATTGCAATAATTGTTGGAGTTATTGTGCACTTTATCACCTACTTCAAGGTAAGCCCAAGCTTATTCACGTCATATTATTATATATTGTGTTCGTTGGTACTATATAAATGTGCTTAAACCGACAGCTGTTATCTAATCTCTGACCAACTCTACGAGACGTTGGCCGATTTCAAGTTCAAATTGTCTTATCTTGTCATAATATTTCTTATCAACTTTAATTAAAAGCTACCGTCTTTCGTATGTATTTTTGTTAAACTTTAATTCCGCAGTTACAAACTATTTCCAGCCTTTTGCGGATGGTAGCAGTTTAAATAATCATAATTTAAACTACTTTGTCCGGAGTAAACGTGTCCTTTGCCAAAGGGAACTCGGTGCGCTCCGAAAAAAATCAAAACGTCAAAATGACAATCGATCTTTCAGATCTTTGAGTGTTTGAAAGTGTGCGATATTTTTGCAAATATTGCTAAATATTTATTTCAACGAACATTTTAATTATGTACTCGGTAGTGTAAAATGTTTAATTTATAAAGGAAGACAACTTTTTTAGTAGTAGCAAATTCTTACGTATTGCATTTTGCAACCTGTGATATATTTTGTTAGACGCACAAAATGTTTGTAAAAACTGTTATTGTTTTAATTATATTTGAAGGTGTTATTGTGAAAGGAGATGAAAAAGTAAGTACCTCTGAATATTTGTTAAACGATAGAATCTTTCTGCGCCGTTGTATGTCATAAATAAAGCGTTTAAATTATATTTTTAGGGAATTTAAAGAATCCTAATGATAGTTTCCATCTCTTCTTTTTTTAATATTTTGTGTTACGTTAACACTTAAAAAAAACTTTTCCTAAGTATAGTCTATTACAACATGTAAGATAGATACACTGTTATTTATTTATTTTTATGTCTCTAACATTTATATTGCTAATCTAATCGCAAAATTCTATTTTTTAGTCAGCTTTAGTGATGTTTTTTCTAAATAAAATAAAAAAAAAACATTTTTTTTTTCTCTCTAGAACTTTATTACACTGTAAGAACGCTAATTAGTAAGCTAGTAACAACCTTTGAAGAAAATAATAAAATTATATAAATGGCAATTGGCATGTTAATTATGTAAATAGGTTAGTTATAAGATTTAATCAAATTGTCTTTGCATTTTATATCATTTTTGTAAATAGGTACTTTTTATTTATCTTGAAAATTGTTTTATTAAACAGTAAAAATAATTATTTTACCCACAAATGTATAAAAAATTTAAATGAACATTTTAATAATATTATTTTATTGTTACAGCTCTCACAGAAAACGGTAGACTTTTGGGATGAAACAGAGCCATTTGGCCAAACAGGGGCACCATCCCCTGACCTCAGACTCCCATCATATGTAGTACCGAGTTTCTACAGACTCAAACTGAAAGCAGAACTAGAAAACTCCACATACTCTGGCGATGTTTACATAACTCTAAAAGCCAGTAAGAGTGTCAAAGAAATTATATTACACTCTAAAAACCTCAGTATTAGTAGCAACGCTAAGCTTACAGAACAAATATATGAAAAAGTTGAGACATTACGGTCTTCTAAAGTAAAACGGGAAGCACCAGAAGCGAATGTCACTTCCACCACAGACCATGACACCACCGAAGTTCCCACAACAGGAGTTGCTGATCCAACAAATGCAACAACAGCAACAATACTGGAAACAACTACGACTGAGAACAATATTACACCGTTAAAAACAGATACAGTGCCAGCTCCTACTCTGTTAGATACGGAAATAAGTCATAGTGCAGTGCGGACTATAAAAATTCTGTCCATCACGGAAGGTACAGGAGACAGGTTAATATTGGGACTAGAGTCTGCGTTGAAAGCCAATGTGGACTATGTACTACAGCTGTCATTTGAAGGTGCAATCTCCAATTCTTTGACTGGATTTTACAAGAGTACCTATGTTAACGACAAAAATGAAGTCAAGTAAGTTGATTTTTTTACTGCTGTATATTTTTATAGTCAATTATTTGAACAAGTCATTTTTTTCTGCATTTATTTGTTTAGTCACATGACAGACAGTATTTCATAAATATTTGAGGGGTTTTGGCACCTTACAACATTCTATTCTTTATTTGCTAACATGAAAGTTGACATTGAATTTATCCAATATTTAATAGATGTGAGTAAACCATAATCAAAATTAACCAAACATCTTCTAGCACACACATCACATCATCAGCTTATAAAGGCCAACTGCTGAGCAAAGGCCTCTTCTCACTCAGAGAATGTTTGAGCATTAATCACCACACTTGCTCAATCTAGATTGGTGATCTCAATCATATAATTCGAAATTATTAAGTCCAGATTTCGTCACGAGGTTTATTTCACCGTTTATCAGTGGCTTCTAAATGATCATAGAAAGTACATATAATATATGGAAATGGTCACATTGGTAGATGTTTATCAGGTTTTGCACCCATCTTTTAGCAATAATTAATTGGTCATAATGCAATAATAAGTTTTATTATTTAAAACCTAGATAGCCGTAGACCCTAGCTACATCTAAATATACTTACAGAGGTCATCCATTATAGCATTAACAATCAAAAGTTTACTCTCAAAACATCTATCTAAAGAGGAAGATTATAGGCACTAAAAATATACAAAATCTTTATCTTACAGGAACCTAGGGGTCACGCAGTTCGAGCCGACATCGGCGCGGTCCGCGTTTCCTTGTTTCGACGAGCCTGCGTTCAAAGCGAAGTTTGAGATTAGTATTGCGCACCCTGAAACGCTCACAGCGCTATCGAATATGAAGATATTTGCGCAAGAACCTGTGTAAGTCACTTTCTAGTTATTTTCTTCATTGGATTTATGATTGATTGATTCTTTTGATGGTAAGCAATCCGTTCTGCCCATGGTAAATCGCAACATCAGAGTAATTTGGGCACGCTATTATAGCAGTGTGAAGACCTCTCTTTGTAGAAGTAGCTAGAGAGCCGCCATAGCGTCGTCACCTTCCACCTGAAGCCAAGGCACGAAATATTTGTAACCTGTTTCGTATCCGGTGGGGGGAAACGCCCGAGTAGCGTCATTGCAAGTACCACCCAGAGGACACGGTGGAGCATACCGTGGTGGTGTGCCCTGCTTGAGCTGAGCACAACCGAGTTCTCAGGGAAGTGATCGACGGCGGTGACTTCTCGCGTGTCGCGTCCAGCCTTAGTCGAGGCCATGGTGCGGTGAGGGTGTTGGAACTATCTTTTACACGCCAGCCGCCGCAGTTAAAGACAGTCAGGGCGTCGCAAGCCTCTTTTTAAGAGGGAAAATCATCAAATGACTTCTCCCGCTCAGGGTGGGGTGGGAGGGAGTAAAATACGCCCCCGTTCCTTCTCCTGCTCTGGGCCGAGGCTGCGGTAACTCATTGCGCTTACCCCGCAACCCCGGCTGAACATCAGCCTTATGGAGCCCCGTCTGTGGTGTCTATTGGATCTTTGAGGCGCGTGTGGAATGCTATGCGCCGTAAATTTGCACAGCTCCAGTTCTATCCAGTTTCCCAGCCATAACCGTGCCGTTGGTGACAGCGGCGGAAAATTTTATTATAATATTTTTATCTTACTTTCAGCCCCGACCAACCCGGCTGGCAGTGGACGCACTTCGATAGATCAGTCAGCATGTCTACCTATTTGGTCGCGTACGTGCTCTCCGATTTCAAATCCCTAGAGACCAGTTACACGAGCACAAACAATGTCACCATCCCAATCAGGATTTGGACGAGGCCAGAGTTAATAGGGAAGGCGAAATACGCGTCAGTGATTACCCCAAAACTGCTAGAGTATTATGAAGAGGTTTTCGGTGTGCCGTATGCTTTGGACAAAATGGATCTCATAGCTATTCCTGACTTCTCAAGCGGTGCTATGGAGAATTGGGGGCTGATTACATTCAGGTGAGTTATTTGTACGAGTATTTTGTTTTTATAAACACTTATTAGATAACGTTTCGGATATCTATCTGCCTCAGTCTTATTTGATTTATTAGCAAATCACCAAGATATCCAAATTGTTGCTACACATTTACCGATTACGCCCCTTTCACTTTTCTACAATTTTCCTTCATAAGCAACTTTTCCTGACCTTATCAAACACGATAAAAATTATTACCGAAACCGATTCAGCTGTTTTCAAGAACATAACAACATCAACAACATCAACAGCCTATAAGTCCCCAGTGCTGAGCAAAGGCCTCTTCTCATACGGAGAAGGTTAGAGCATTAATCACCACGCTTGCTCAATGCGGGTTGGCGATTTCAAACTTGTAATTAGAAATTACAAGTCCAGGTTTCCTCACGATGTTTATCTTCACCGTATGTCAGTGGTGTCAAAATAATCATAGAAAGTACATATAACTCGGAAAAAGTCACATTGATACTTCCCAGGTTTCGAACCCACATCTTCATGCATGAAAAGGGTCACCACGACATTTTTACAACACACTGAGCCATTCTTTTTTACTACCTCGTTGATCACGTAGTTGTGCTATTATTATCATCAGTAATCATCATATATATATATATCAAATCATATATATCAAAATCATCAGTTCGCACTAAGCGATTACCAAGGGTACACGTATTTATTTTGCTCGCTGCTTTGTTAGTCAGAGGTTCCCAACCGCGGCCCGCTATAGTTATTCAAAGAAAATGAATTGCGACTCGTGTGGATCCCGTTTCACTGATGGTGTCCAATGTGGATTGTGCAAGAAGCACTACGACTTTCCTTGTGCCCAAATCTCAGAGTCGGGCTGGAGAAAATTGGGAGTCGAAAGAAGGGCTGTTTGGAAGTGTACCACCTGTAGGGGCCGTGCATCGCCAGCGCCAGCTACACCAACACCTGATCCACCATCATTGGAGAATATTATGAAGGAAATTCAGGCCCTGAAGGCTCATTTGACGGGCTTGCCTACCTTAGTGGAGGATGTCAAAAGTATCAAATCTGAAATCTCCGAAATGAAGCTAAGCTGCGAATTTTTGTCTGGTAAGATCGACGATTTTGCAACCAAAATATCTGCTATTGAGGCTAGAGTATCGTCTTTGGAGGATTTAAGTGAAAATGTGTCAACACTGCAGAGCGATGTTGGGATGCTGAAGTTGCAACTCGCTGTCAACGATCAACGTTCCAGGCTTAACAATGTGGAAATTAAAGGAGTACCTGAAAAGCCTAATGAGAATTTGTTCACTGTCATTGAAGCGATTGGAAATGCAGTGAATTTCAGCATACCTAAGTCACAGATTAACTACCTTTATCGGATCCAGGTATCAAATACTAAGGAAAAATCTATCGTAGTCAACTTTGTAAACAGGTACGTAAAGGAAGATTTTGTGGCATCGGCTCGAGCTATCAAAACCTTATCAACTGCAGACGTCGGTTTTAAGAGTGTTTCCAGACGCATATTTGTTAACGACCATTTGACCGCTGATATGAAATTATTGCTAAATAAAACAAAATTAAGGGCAAAGGAATTTAATTTCAGCTATGTGTGGGTGAAGTACTCTAAGATCCACGTACGGAAGAGTGATTCCTCAAGAGTTTTTATAGTTAATAAGGAAGAAGATTTAAACAAAATGGTTTAGTATGTTTTTATGTAGTTGTATTTTTAATCATATTTCATTGTAATAATCTTTTATCACATTGCTGGTTGCGACGGACAACCGTCGTACCGTTTATTCGTATATACTTGTATTGTAGTAACAAAATAGCGGGCCATCCAACGCGGTTGACCACCCCTGACGCGTCTAAAGTCCGCTTGGATCTTTTACTTATATATTATTACTTTACGCGGGTAACCGTTAATTCCTTTGTTTGTTGTAAAAAAATTATATTATTTTTTACTTCATATTTATTGTGTGTTGCATGTTTTGGTTTGCCTTTGGATATCATGCTTGCGACGAGTGTTCATTATGTTGTTTTGTTTGGTGTGCTCCTAGGGATTGCGATAGGGTGTATAAATATTTATTTTTTCTGCTTCGAGGTGGACGAAATTGTTTGCTTTATATCATTTGCTTATTGTAATTGTAGACGTTCATTAACATTGATGTTTGGTTCAGTGAGTGGATTTTTGGTGATCAATGGCGCAGAAAAGTAATAATATTACGATTTATTATCAAAATGTCCGTGGTCTGCGATCCAAGACAACTATTTTTCTGCGAAACTTATGTTTGAATGATTACGACTTGATAGTCCTTACTGAAACCTGGCTTCTAGATGGTATCAATAGCTCAGAATTATTTGATAACAGATATACAGTGTGGAGAAGAGATCGTGATTGTGGTAGGACTGGCCAGACAAGGGGGGGTGGTGTATTGATTGCTGTACGGACTGACATTCCTGTAGTTTCACGCGAATCATTTCATTCATCGGCGGAGGATTTGTGGGTAACTTTATCAATAAAACAGAGCCGTAATATGATAACCAAAATTAATATTTGCGTGTTATATCTTTGTAAAGAAAATCAAGGATTTTCTTTTACGGAGCAGTTACAAAATTATCTACTTAAGTTGAACGATACAATTTTGGACAATCCTCTAGACAAGTTCATTATTTTGGGCGACTTTAATCTAAGCGGTATTGACTGGCTACCTACAGGCGATTATTTTTATCTACCCTCAAACCTATCACACAATGATGAATACTTATTAGTTGATGAGATGCAGCTAAACGACCTTTATCAATACAATGGAGTTTTAAATAATTATGGTAGGATTCTGGATCTTGTTTTCTCCAACGACTCAGTGACTGTGATTGGCGTGGACGACCCGTTAGTACCAATTGACCCTTATCACAAGGCATTATCTATAACAATTAACTTTGTACAGTTATCATTTTTACCACCTAAACCAAGGAAGAAATACCTATATAATAAGGGTGACTATACTTCTATTAATAAAGAAATCTCAACGGTTGACTGGGTTACCGAATTTCACAAGCTAACGCTGGAGGAATCGGTGGCCTTTTTCTATACTACTATAAACAATCTTCGGGACAAATATATTCCTACTAGATCCGTAAATAATTATTGTTATCCGGTTTGGTACAGTGCTTCATTACGCAATGTCCTAAAGGAAAAACTAAAATACTTCAATAAATATAAAACATATAAGCGTAAATCTGATGCAGAGACTTTTAAACTGTTGCGTGACAGGGCTCGACGACTTGAAGCATTGTGCTACAAGCAGTATACAGAATCTATTGAAAAATCTATCGCGTCTAATCCTAGACATTTCTGGTCCTATTACAAAGCGCGCTCAGGTTGTAATAATATACCCAGTAGCTTACGGTACTCAGATAAACTTTTAACTTCTGGCGAGTCAATATGTAACGCGTTCTCTGAGTATTTTCTGTCCACTTTCCTGGATCAGTCAACCGACTCTAGTAACTCCTTACCGGACTGTGACTCGTCTGAACCTCAACCTTCAGACATTGACCGTGTGGACGTCACGGTATCAAAAGTAAGAGGACTTTTATCGGCGCTGGATCCATGTAAGTCTGCTGGTCCAGACAATGTCACATCCGTATTTCTTATCAGGACTAGTGATAGTATAGCCTTACCTGTGTTCCTGTTATTTGAAAAGTCTCTGTCTTGCTGTCGAGTACCTCATATTTGGAAATGTGCGTTTATTACACCTGTTCACAAGAAAGGCTTCAAGACTGATGTAGTTAACTATAGACCAATATCTAAACTGTGTATCCTTTCTAAAATTTTCGAAAAAGTCGTATATACCCAGGTTTATGCTGCAATTAAACAGTCCCTCAACTGCAGCCAGCATGGATTTGTGAAGGGTCGTTCTACAGTTACTAACCTCATTATATTTAATGATTATCTTTCCCAGTCCATGGATGCAGGCTTCCAGGTCGACGTAGTCTATACAGACTACAGTAAATGTTTTGACAGAATAGATCACATTATACTGCTTCGTAAGCTACAAAAAATCTGTATAAGGGGAGATTTACTTAGATGGTTCGCTTCGTACATTGATAAGAGATCTCAGGCTGTCGTTATCAATAACTACATGTCTGGCTGGGTTACTATACCAAGCGGTGTTCCACAGGGCTCTCTAATTGGTCCGTTGCTATTTTTGATATTTGTGAATGATATTGTCGACTGCTTCCACCATAGCAAAGTTATTTGTTTTGCTGATGACATGAAAATTTACGCAACAATCAGATCAGCGGCGGATGCCGGACGCCTTCAAGAGGACCTTGGTAGACTGGATGGATATTGTTTGAACAACAAATTGGATCTTAACCCGGTAAAATGCTCTGTGGTAACCTTTAGTCGAAAGAAAAATAATGTGTCCACCCAATACTACCTCAAAGGCCATCAACTTGATAGACTGGATTCGGTTCGTGATCTTGGTGTGGTACACGATTCTAAACTCCTTTTCGACGAGCATATTGAAACAATAACTGCTAAGGCAGCGAGGTCTTTGGGTTTTATCATGAGATCGACAGCCCCATTCAAAAATGCAAAAACGTTCAAAATTTTATACTGCGCCTACGTACGAAGCATCCTTGAATACGGATCGCAAATATGGAATCCCCGGTATGATAAATTATATTGCAAGAATTGAAAGAATTCAAAGGAAGTTCAGTAAGTTCTTGTGCTATCGTTTGAAAATTCCTAAGAATACTGGATGTGACAACTATATTAAACTCTGCAAACAATTTCACTTTCTTCCACTTTATAAACGTCGTGAGATAGCTGACGTTACTTATATCCTATCCATAGCAAACGGTAGGGTTGATTGCCCTGAACTCCTTGAAAAGTTGTCTCTCAATGTTCCCTCGAAATCCTTTAGGAAGCACACACCTCTTTGTCCCCCGGTTGCAAATAGTAACTACAGGCAGAGCTCATTTTTGTGTCGAGCTTGTCGTACCTTTAACGACATCAGTAGCAAGCATGATGTAGATATCTTTTGTACAAGCCTGAGAAAAGCTAGAACCATGATAAGTGGAGAATTTTTTAATAACTAATTTATGTTTTTTCAAATATGTTTACATCATTTTTCTTTATATAATTTTCTTGCGGTGTGCCTACTGTTTTGATTATATTTAAAATTTTTTATTTGGTCTTAGTTGTTAACTATTCTGGCACTATTCGTGTGAATCTGTAAGTGGCTCAATGTCACTATTTTTCTGCTAAAATTGTATAATGTAGCTGTTGATTCACCATTTATTAAATAAATAAATAAATAAATAAATAAATTATTACTGTATCGCAAGGGACAGTTCGGTTCCCGGTGCCGAAAAAGTAATATTTTCAAAACTTATCAAAACTGGCCGGGTTCTTGTTTATTGTACTTGGCTGACACCCTAATACATACATACATATAGGAATCTCATAACAAAATGCTAAGACCTACGTTGTATTCATAGATGTATGTCGTCATCATCCATTCGATAAAATTATTAAAAGATATGACGTGTTATATTTTAAAACTAGCTACTCCCGCCGGTTTCTATTGGTCACTACTCGGCTCCTTTCACTCGTAGCCTGATGTTATATATCTTTCCTCGATAAATTAACTACCTAACAAAAAAAAAGAATTGTTGATTTCGAACCAGCAGTTCAGGAGAATGGCGCGTGCAAAAAGTCTTCAATATTTTATTTTAAAATCTGTCTGTAAAATTCGCAGACTTAAACTGCTATGTGTATGAATAATATTAAATGCACAATCTTTGACGCATGCGTAACATCATTCTAATCGGAGTAGAATTTTAACTCGCCGTAGCGATACGCGAACTGTTTTTAACGTTTTTTATCGAGTTTATATAGTCACACAGAACTAAAAGAGCGTAAGACAGAATAAAAATATTTAACACAATACTGTTTTATGTTCTTGCAAAATATCTACGACGCAGGCTACTCATTTTCTGGTATACATAATTATTTAAGTACTAACAGACCCGACAGACGTTGTCTTGCTATTGATATTTCAAGCGATTAAGGTATTAAAATAGTGTGATCATATTGTGCGTGAAATATTGCGAAAGAGAAAACTCGAAAACATGCGCGTCCTCAGACTGAGCCAGATCTATTTCCCGTCCCCGAAAACCCCTACATATCAAAATCGTTAGGGCCGTTTCAGAGATTGCATGCTTCAAATGCAAACAACAAAAAAAAACATTTAAATCGGTCAAGCTGTTTAGGACGAGTTTAATGATATACCTACACACATACTGGAGAATTTTATATATTGCAATTGGGTAGGACCAGTCAGTCAAATAGTGTAATAATTTGAACTTCGAAAACCATAAAAGGACCTAAAAATAATCCCTTCCTCTCATTAATTTTAACATGTGTATTTTTTTATAATTCAACTGAAGTAATTACTTTTTTAACGTAAAATATATAGGTAATAATATTATATTCACAACGCGCTATTTCATACAAAATTGATGTTTTTGACATTAAGGAAAAAAGTATTGAGTTGGACTAGTTAGATAGGTATAGATCTCCATCTAAATATTTTGGATCAAGATCTAATTACAGGGGTTCTATTAAGTTTCTGTCAGCCTAACTCTACTCGGAGATCTCAAATTAAAATTGGTTAATGTTCCGAACTTTAAACAGATTTTTTCTCGAAGCATTTTCATTGTCACAACCGTTAGGTATACATGGAAATAAAAATAAGTTATTAATTTACGACTGCACGGTTGGCGCGGTGGCTGGGCAACTGGCTGCCGCGCTACGTGTCGCGGGTTCGATTCCCGCACGGGAAACTCTTTGTGTGATACCCAGATTGTTGTTCCGGGTTTGGGTGTGATGTACATGGGAAATTGTATGTTTGTAAACGCACCCACGACACAGGAGAAAATCCTAATGTGGGGCAACGTTTTTTTGTAAACAAAACATAAACAAATTCAAATTACTTTATTTGTAGATCATAGGTTACAGAAGATGATACAAGATTTACATTGAATCATTAATAATTAAAATCAACAAATTCATTAACTCATCTAACCCCAAGCGAATGCCGGCGTTCGCGCACCTATTGTGTCACGAAAAATATTAATGAAGATATGTATTAATATCTCTTTCAATAGAGAAACAACACTACTGTTCGATGAGGCAGAGAGCGTGCCCCGTGACAAACAGAATGTAGCTATAGACATAGCGCACGAGCTGGCCCACCAGTGGTTCGGGAACCTCGTCACCATGCGCTGGTGGACCGACCTCTGGCTCAACGAGGGATTTGCCACCTATATTGAATATGTAGGAGTTGATCATGTAAGTATTATTATTGTACTCAAGTATTTTTTTTCTTCATCATAATCGGGTACAGACAAATACTGACGATCATACACATTACACATATATTTTTGTTAGTAGGATCAATTTTTTTTTTTGACGTTGTACCAAATGTGGATGGATGGAGAGGGAGAGGGAGACCAAAGAAAATATGGATGAATTGTGTAAGAAATGATATGGAAGACAGAGGAGTTAGTGATAGCGTGACGGGTGACAGGACAGAATGGAAGAAAAAACATATTGCGCCGACCCCAAATAAAATTATCATTATCTTCCTGCCCTTGTCCCGTTCAAGGGCAGGAAGATGATGATGACTCCTAGGTTTTCGCTGGTGTCGCAACATAAGAATTAGTTTAGTTTACACGAACAATGTTGGCCACAGCAACAGTAAAAAGCACCCTATGTAGTATTCCAGACTATAATCTATCTCTGTGCCAAATTTCATTCAGTAGATCTGAAGCGTTTACGTAAAACAGTCACAAACACGGACTATGTATTTATTTTTTGTTTAATACTTCATGCATGATATAGTACGCAGGCCTGATGATTAATGCCTTATTGACTTACTTACTGTTGAGACTGATTTATGCCCGGTTCCTATATTTAACGAATCGTCGTTGTATGACATTACGACCAAATGACATTACGAATAGTTATCTTGACCGTCTACTGACGGTTAAAATATTTATAGGAAAACCACAGGCACCATAGAACTCCATACAATTCGCTTACCGATATCCGTTAGTTGCAAACCGTCAGTAAGTTGCACGACGAGACGTTTATTATAGGAACGGTTTTAGCTTACGAGTCGTATATAAAACTACTATTCGTAATTAAAACGGATCGTTTCTCAATTATAGGAACCGGGCGTTAGAGATTACTAGAAGATTAACGCCCGGTTTCTGAAAGGCATGTCAACGCTAAAATTAACTAATCTCCTGTTAAATCTCTTGTCAAGTCGTCTGATTGGTTGTTGATAATTCAGTTAACCAATCAGATGACTTGACAAGAGATTAAATTGATTTTAACATTGATCGGCCCTTCGGAAACCAGGTGTTACTGACATAAATCTAGGAACATACTTTATTTGGATTCTTTTAAGTTTACCTATTTCAAATTTCAACCGCTTTTAAATTAGTAGTTACTGCGTTATGACTAATTTAAACTGAAATGAAATGAAAAAATGCCATCACAACTTTGTCTTGTTTCTTGACAAAAGAAATTATAATTATATGATCTCTTTACGTAATTTTGGAAAATAGTTATTTATATTTCATAATGCCTTTTTACAGGTGGAACCCGAATGGAACATGTTCGAATCATTCTCCCGCGACAAGATGGACCTACTTCGCTCCGACGCCTTAAAGAACACATCTCCAGTGTCACGGAAAGTGGAGGACGCGTCCGAAATATCGCAGAAATTCGATGAAATATCATACACAAAGGGAGCCAACCTTATAAGGATGTTGAACCATACAATTTCTGAGGATCTCTTCCATAAAGGATTGGTTATTTATTTGAATCAATGGTGAGGATTTTTCTTTCTTTTTTGGTAAGCAATACAAGCCGCCCATAGATAGAGTATGTGCGTGTTAGGATCTTTTGGGATTTGGGATGGGATGGGGACCTTCCAGTAACTCACTCACACAGCGAAACAACGTCAGAGTTGTTTCACGCATGTCGGTTTTATGTGAGGCTGTGGTATCACTCCAGTCGAGCTTTCCCATTTGTGCCAACCACGGTATTTGAGTACCTAATTACATTAAAATCGGTTCAGCAGTTTCTATGATTTTTGACTTGAAAGTTTGTATAAAGGCCAATGCGGCGTAAACGCTGACTTCTTTAACAATAATAACATTTTTCAAAAGTTAAGACAGCGCTAGTCTCACTAGTAAACTTACAAAATATTCCTTTTGTTTGCCAGTTATCTATAACTAGCTTCCTCCAGCGGCTTCACCCGCACGATATGTTTATAAAAAGTAGCCTATGTCCTATTTTGGAGTGTATCCTATGCCTGTGCTGAATTTCATCTAGATCCGTCCAGCCTTTTTGGCTTGATTGAGTAACAAACATCCAAACATCGTAACTTTCGCATTTATAATATTAATACGATTGTATCTTTATTCTTCCAGGAAATACTCGAACGCGGAAGAGAATGACCTGTGGTATGCCATGGCTAAGGCGACGCCATCAGACCCGGCCCTCAAAGACCTCAACGTGGTGAACTTCATGAACTCCTGGACCCGACAGGCCGGGTACCCGGTCGTCAGCGTAACCAGGGACTATGAAACCGGGCGTGTTGAGTTTGAACAGGTATACTTCAATATTTGTTATGGATTTTTTCTTGTCAATATTTTTTAAAAACGATAGGCTCATTACTATTAGTATAAATCGCTTTCAACAGTCCCAACATTAATTGTGTACAAAGGTAGTTAAGAAAGCTTCTCTAAGGAGATATTCTAGAGGCTGTTTTATACTAATTGTTTATTTTTTTACCGTCCTAGTAAAATTTGGTGGTTAAAGGATTTTCGAACTCTGACAATAACTTATCTTATCATTGAGATAGTTACAGAGATGATTCCGTTAATCATAATTTTAGCAAATCACACAGTGAAAATTGGTATACTTACTCATTGAGAGAGTGATACCACGTTCTCACAATCGGCATGAAACAATCACACCGTTGTTGAAGCAAGGTTACTGGAGGCCTAATCCTTCTTTCCATCCTCCAACCTCTAAATCTCCAAAACCATAATCACGAAAAGGGTAGTATTCCATCGGCAGAGCAAATTGCTTACCATCAGGTAATATTTAATCTTAATACTTATATAAACTGAATTGGTTGTCCCCAGCGCCTGTTCACGGCGGCCACAGATCCGTACGAGAAGATGTTGCAGCAGTTGTGGCATATCCCGGTGAGTTACTGCGCCGTGGGAGGGGCGGCCTCAGAGTCCTGCAGTACCAAGCCTCGGAGCTGGCTCCAGGCCCGCAAGGCCACCGTCACACTACCCATCAACGATACACAGGCTTTGTATGTCAACGTCGATGCCATTGGTGAGTACCATTATCCGTATTTTTTTGTGTCATAATGTCGGCAAACGGGCTGACGGATTACCTGATGGTAAGCAATCAGCGTCGCCCATGGACACGCGCAATGGATGAGTTACGAGTGCGTTGCCGACCTTTAGGATAAGGGTTGTGGAGATTTAGGGATCAGGGGAGGGGAAGGATTGGGCCCCCGGTAACCTCACTCACACGGCGAAACACAACGCTGTGTTTGTTTCACGCCGGTTTTCTGTGAGGTCGTGGTATCACTCCGGCCGAGCCGACCCATTCGTGCCGTAGCATAGCTCTCCCACCCTTGTTGATGATATGCATGATATTTTTAACACACTTCCTCATAAAGTGGCTCTAATCCCACGGCAATTAGGCTCATAATGACACCTATAATCTGTCACCTATAAACTGTGACTTTTTCATTACTATAACTCACGAGTGAGTTATAAAGTTTTGTTTAATACTATTAGATGCGCTAAAATTGCGCAATAGCGCGCAAAAAAGGACACCTTATTTTTAGTCTATGACCGATGCGCGTGCATAGGAATACTGATTAATTTTTCCCGCCATTACGAAACATTTTTCACAACTCGACTCTTTTTCTCCTTTGAAGTTATTTTGGTTTTTATTTAAGTATTATTTTATTCAAAAGCGTCTTGAAAAACGTCGTATGACACACGGGTGTATTGGTTATTACCGTTCTCGACTCCTTAAGACTCCTAAACATTACACAATATTGTATCATAATGTAGGTAGTATTGTGTTCCTAATTTGCTTCGTAGTGCTTCAAACCCTAATAAAAAAAAACACACTTGTGAAGCAAGCGCGGGACCTTCTTTATCACTACATAGCATAAAACAAAGTCGCTTTCTCTCTCCCTATATATATCATTAATCCTCAAACCTTGTGAGAAGAGGCCTTTTCTCAGTAGTTGACACTTATAGGCCGACGAGAATTATTATAATGATGATGATGATTATATCTTACCCTAAATTTCTTCACAGGCTACTACAGAGTCAACTATGACAAGAAAAACTGGGAATTATTAAGCGTTGCTCTGAAAACTGGACAGATAAAATCGCCCATAACAAAGTCTCAGCTTATAGACGATGCCTTTAACTTAGCCAAAGTGTCCCAACTGAACTATAGTTACGCCCTTGGATTAACAACTTGTGTAATCAACGGAGAAGATTCAAAAATGGTCTGGGACCTTCTGTTGAACAATATGGCGTTTTTAAAGCATAACTTAAGAGCCACCTCTGGATATGTGTACTTCCAAGTAAGTGTGTATTCTTTGTATGGTTGGTTGAGTATAAAAGAAATTTTATTTCAATTTAATTTTTTTTTTTAAAGTCGTTTTTATGAAATAAAATTTCTTTAACTAATATAGCAAATATCTCAATACTTTATTGCATCTGATAATGTGTACATAAAATTATCAATTATGAACTAAAGTGGATTTTTACAATACAAAATTTTATTGTGAGAGTGGATTCTTGTTTAGAAAATACAAATCTAATAATTTATTTTTTATTTTATTTAAACTTTATGCAACAAAACATTACATAGGCGGACTTAATGCCGTAGGCATTCTCACCAGTCAACCTTATGGTGATGCAGAGAGAGTATGGTAGGTGCAACAAGAAGAGAACTTTGGGAAGATAAATTAAGATTTAAAATACAACAAAAACACTAAAATAAATAAATATTTATATATATACAGAATAATATAATTATACTGGTATATGGTGGTATGGTTTATAAAATAAATACCCAATACATAATCTATATTCTTACATAAATAGTAGTATAAATATACATTTATTTATAAATATATATGAATAATATTATACACAGTCAATACATAAACATAAGGGTTTTATGATGATGGTTCCAATAACAGTCCATTCAAAATGTGCTTACGCAATTCAGCCTTAAACAATTGCTTACTGGTAGCCTTCCTGATTTCCAAGGGCAACCCATTCCACAGGAGAATGGATTGAATGTAAAAGGATGAATGGATAGTATCAGAGCTATGAGAGGGACAATGAAGAAGAAGATTATGAGAAGAGCGAAGATTTTTAGAATGACCAGTGTAGCGGTAACAAAAGTAGGAGGTTAAATAAGAAGGCGTAGTTGGACAGTTGAGAAGTGAAAAAAGAGTTGTCAAAGCGCGAAATGCTCTTCTTTGGCGAATTGGCATCCATTTCAACTCGGACCTGTACTCAGAAACATGATCGTACTTCCTCAGGTTAAATACAAACCTTATGCAGTTATTGATGAGACGATCAAGTTTATTGAGCAAATCCGAACCGAGATCATAGTAACACACGTCAGCATAGTCGATTATAGGAAAGATTAAAGACTGCACAAGCATTGCCTTCGTCCTAGGTGGTAGAAAATTCCTAAGTCTATTTAGACAGCGCAACGTCCCCATCACCCTCTGACTAACACTTGAGACCTGAACCTGCCAGCTCAGCGTGGCATCTAGATGCAAACCCAGGTCCTTAACTGAAGAACTAAAGGGGATGACACTTCCATCCAATGTCACTGAAGGAACACTTTCGATCTTCACTCTGCTAATCATTCGAGGACTGCCGATAACTATGGCCTGACATTTGCCAGAATTTACTGATATGCCAAATTGACTAGACCAACAACTGATGGTTGTGAGATCATTATTCAGCTTATCGATGGCTTCATGCAGATCTTCCGGCCGAGCCTGAGTGTAAATCTGCAGATCATCGGCATACAGATGATACGAACACTGAAGATTAGATGTGATAAAATTAATAAAAAGAGAAAATAACAGTGGAGAAAGAATACCGCCTTGTGGAACACCAGCTTTAAGCTCGCGCCAATCTGACACAGTCTCGTCAACGCGAACCGCCTGCCAGCGCCCCCGAAGATAAGATGAAAACCACTCCAGTGCCCCAGGCGAAATCGTGGCTGACGGCATTAAAGGCATTGGAAAAGTCAATTAAAACCAAGGTAGTAACTTTTGTGTCTTGAATCCCTTCTCTAATGTCGCCAGTCACTTTGAGAAGTGCTGAAGCGGTGCTGTGCCCCGGTCTGAATCCGGACTGTAAAGGACTTACAAGGTTATGCCGGTGGACGAAACATGACAGTTGCCTGTGCACGCACGCCTCCAACACTTTGGAAAGAAAGGGGAGGATAGAGATAGGCCTAAAATGGGAGGGTAGGGTCGGGTTTGTGATTTTTGGAAGGGGACGGACGTAAGCATAACGCCACAGGGAAGGAAACTGTCCTGAGTATAAGGAAAAATTAATAATGTGGGTAATGGATGGCAAGATATACTCAAGGATAGGGATAACCATACTGCGACTAATTTCATCATAGCCAGTGGCCTTCGATTTTATGGATAGGATGGTTTTATTGATATCGCCCGCAGACACTGGAGAGAATTTGAAGGTGTCCGAACAAGGATGAGGAAAGTTATTAATAAAGTCTACCGTTTGCCGAATGGTTTGACGATCCAACAGGGCAGCGGTTGTGAAATGTTGATTTATATCGTTCAAACCAATCGTCTTAGGTAGCTCTATATGATTTGATTTGCCGATACCTATTGTTCCAAGGAACTTCCAGGTGTCGGCCGCAGAACTGGTTGATATGTTATCAAGAATATGTCGGCGTTTAGCATTACGTATCATCTGGTTACATCGATTTCTGGCTAACTTAAAGAGAACCCAATTCTCCTCCGACCTATCACGTCTGTACCTCCGAAAGGCGCGATTCCTCCGTCTCATCGCCATACGCACCCCCCTCGACATCCATGGAGCCGGCGGACGTTTAACTTTTACACTTTTGATTGGTGCATGAATGTCGTAGAGGTTTTTGATCATGCGATTTAGAGTAGCAACCTTATCGTCAATGGTGGCAGAATTGGATACCTCTGCTTCCCACTCAAGCTCGGAAGCGTTTTTACGCAGCTTGTCTAAATCTAACCCCGCAAAACAACGCATGCGCAGTACTTTAGGAGTAGGTTTAGGAGGCTTTATGTGGTAGGACACATAAATCAGGTCGTGAAGGGAGAAACAAGGAGCAGGACATTGACCATGAGAGGATACGTGAGATGGACTAGAGGTGAGGATTAAATCGAGCAACGTGTCTTCACCTGCAATATTGCAGTGGGTTGATAGGAGAGGTGAGACGTGAAGACTGGCTGACTCGATGATATGAAGAAGTTTGCGGGAACGGGGGGAGGACTGTAACAGGTTTGTATTAAAATCGCCCATGATGACGTGATGCTCACACACAGATCCAATAGATTCCAATGCCAGCTCTAGATCAGAGAAGTAGTCCGTCATTGGTGGGCAATACACAACACCGATGAGAACCTTGACTCCTGTTATGCAGACTTCAAGGAAGATGAATTCAGCAGACGAACAATAGTTAGAGGGAGAAGTTGCAAGAATTTTATAGGGGAAGTGACTTCGAAGATAGATGGCAACACCACCACCCCCCCTTCCGGTCCTATCATTTCTGATAAGAATAAATCCGGGAAGAGAGTAACTAGTGGAAGGAAGGTGAGGTTTGAGCCAGCTCTCAGAAACCAGGACTGCATGTACATTAACATCAGAAAACGCCTCGTATAGATCGCTGTAGTGGCTTGGTACACTTTGAGCATTTATGTGGCAAATATTTAAAAGATGTCGATTTGCTTGATCAAATTTTATTCGCAATTGGCCACCAAGTGTGTCAGTGGCTGAACAAAAACTTGAATTGGACAGTTCTGGAGAACTGCAAGCAGAACAAAATGAATCATCATCGGATTGCATAATAATTGCATATATAACGAATATATTAAATAAAATATATAATAATAGATAATATAAGTATTACTATAGAGATATTGTTTCAAAATAAAAATACCTAAAAATACGGTGCAGTATTACCAAAGGTCTCTGCACCACCCGCCAGCAGCACCATTACATAGTTGAAAAAAAATTGATATGAAAAAAAAATCTACAATAACATAAAAAAAAACAACAAGTGCGAAAGAAAAAAAAATACTAATACAACAGATCACAACTTATTGCGTGCAACTAAACGCATGATATGTCTATGGTCAAAATGACAGTGACAATTAAAACTCTGTGACTGACAATTATAGTGCGGTAGTAATAATTTATTTACATTAATAGTTTTACCGAACAAAAGTGAAGTTAATGAAACTAAAAATTATTATGAAGATTAGCGGTTACCAGTGACATTGACCAAAGAGTACAAATAAGGGAATGCTGAAACATACTAATTGAACTGGCGTGATTTGATAAAAGTTCGAAGTTTAACGAAAAACTTAATAGGGTAATTTTAATTATATAAAACAAGAACAAAGGAAGAGTGAATTAAAGAGAACAGTGGGTAGAATGCATGACCAAAAAAGAAATCCATATGAATATGGATATAATAAAATATCAAAGTAAGTGTAATGAAACGTGCCGCATTTAGTGATTAAACTGATGTTATTAATTGGATTTATTATGAAGTAGATACTGAATTTATTATTTACGTGCATCTTTCAGTTTGGACGAGTTCACCTCCGCTGCATGCCTGGCCGCTGGCTGCGACGCACCCGGCGCCCTGGGATACTTTATGAGGAGAGGGCTCAGTTCCTCCAAGCATGTGACCCTGTGCTTATTTCCATCGGATGTTTTGAGGAAGATATTGCCATCCCGAGTCCAACAGCTTCGCATGCCAAAATGATGGCGCGCCTTTGAGAAAACCTCCTGTCTGGGCTTAGTGAGAAATTCCCTGATGGAGATTTTAGTGCCCCGTAAGCGGGTCTTAGCGTTCCACACTGAAGCCTTGTAATCAAGACTGGAGAATTTCACCAAGATTGGCCTATGGTGGTCTTTGTTGCTGGCTCCAAGTCTGTGACATACTTTAAGTGCAGATACTGGAAGATCCAGGCCCAGCTTTGTATTGATGACACCCAAAATCAGTCCGCTGCAGTCTTCATTGTCCAGCTCAGGCATGCCCTGGAATATGGCAGCCTTTCGACGGCTCCGCATCTCCAAATCATCAATGTTTCTGCAGCACTCAATGACTTGGGCCCGCAGCATCTTAAGCATGTCAAAAACAAGCTCACGGAAGGCACGAAACTCTTCAGCAATCCTGGCCACAGTGTCCTTCGCAGGTCCCGCAGACTGAATCTGAGCCTCGATGTCACCCATCCTCTTCAACAAACTCTCCTGCACGTTTTTGTGAATATTAATAATTTCACTGACCTGAGACATTGTGTAACTATTGTGTTCTTGTGACAACTATGTTGAGATGTGATGTGCTGGCAGGTGGTGGCCTAGTTGTTCAATGTTACATGGACCTAGTAAATCCAAGCACTTGTAAACACTTATAACTGATTCTGTTATCCTAATCGTATAGCTGGTCCAAATTTAAAATATAAGTGTTATTTTATTAATTTAAATCAATTAATCTTATAATAAAAAAACTGTTCGACGTGTGTACTTATTTAGCGCCTACCACCGAATCCAATAATATCTACAATAGCTTTTCTTTTTTGTTATTTATATGTATATTTGTGGCCTATGTATATGTACCAAAATAATAGCTACAGTTTTACATTTAAAATTACCTTATTATTTTAATTGTACTTGCATTAAATTCGTTCAATTAAAAGTTTTAAATTACTCGTATGTAAAGAAGATTGTTTTAAAATTGGTTAATATTTAAATAATCCTATACTTTACTTCCCTATTATATAAATCATTAATATTATGGCTTTATAATTACACTAATAAAAATATTAATTAGTCACTATACTAACCTAACCTGTCTTCCAGGACTACATGAGAATTTTACTGGCTAAGCAACTGGAGAAGGTTAACTACGGCCTGTCGAAACCGAAGGACGACAACGAGGCATTCCTCATTGAGAACCTCGTCATGTGGGAGTGCTACGTCGAGTCCCCGCGCTGCTTGAAGTGGGCGAGGGAACAGTTCGAGAACTGGACCAAACAGGAAGATGTTAATAATAACCCGTGAGTTTATACTTAATTCATTATGGGATAGGGTTCAGTTTCGTAATTCGTAATTTAGGGAGATAAAATTTTGTCAACTTATGATAAAATTTTTATATGAATAAAATCTAACTTGGATCTTGATTACTTTGACTTTACTATCACAGTACAGCTCTCGCCAAACTTTGTGACCGCCCTGAATATAGTCGCGAGTCTGAACTTGCGCATGGTACAGTCGAGTGGGCAATACGTAATCAACCAATTTTCGTTTTCTAACATTTTAATACTGGTTGATTATGTATATACTAATATTAGACTCGCGACTATATTCAGGGCGGTCAGAAAGCTTGGCGACAGCTGTACATAGTCGGGAAGCTCACTGCACCAGAGTTACATTCTCAATGGTCGACATTATCTCGACCATACCATTTATAGTAGACGATGACACTGACATTGACAGTTCTAGTGGTACAATAATTAGTAGGACTTATAAGAGATTATACAACTGTATTGTATGTAGGTATGTAGATATATATAATGCAATTAAATATTTATTATTTTGTTTTTACACTATAAAATTAGTTTTTTTTTTGTGTTATCATGACACAAATCCCTTTTTTGTACAATTAAGATTTATTAATTATTATATAGCCTATGACCTTTCTCAGGCTCTAGACTATCTGTATACCAAATTTATTACAATCGGTTCAGTAGTTTTGTCGTGAAAGACAGACAGAGATACTTTCGCATATGTAATATTAGTATGAATTATTTTTTATGAATATAGACTTTCATCAAGTTTTTATTTTTTCTATTTTATTTTATTATAATTCCCAGCATCCCAAGCTACCTCCGAGGCTTAGTGTACAACATGGTCCTCCGTCACGGCGGTCGGGCAGAGTTCGACTTTCTCTGGCGAGTGTTCCAGACCTCCTCCGACCCTAACGTGAAGACTCTTATCATCAACAACCTACCCAGTACGAGGGAGGAGTCACTTATTACTTTGTAAGTTCTTTGTTGAAACTGTTAAGTATGGTCACGTTGCTTGATATAACGTTCATTCATTTGGGTAAGGTGGAATATTTAAGATGTGGGTTTTTATTTAAGATATAAGAAACTAGCTTTTGCCCGCGACTTTGTTTGCGTGGAATAGTGACTTCCTGCAGATTTTTGGTTTAAAAACTATCCTGTCCTTTCTCGAATTCCGAACTGTCTGTACCAAATTTCACACAAATAGGTTCAGTAGTTTAGGCGTGAAAAAAAGACAGACAGAGTTACTTTCGCATTCATAATATTAGTTTGGATATATAAAAATTAGATATATATAGACAATTACATCCTTACTTAAAAATTATTAAAGCTGGTTGATCAAACTTACATAATAAATTGATTTGTATTTGTATATGCTTCTCAGGCTTCTCGAAAGGTCTTTATCAGAAATTCCGAAGCAGTACGCAGTGGCCGCTTGGAGCGTGGAGGCCCCGGTCGGGACACGACTCGCGCAGGACTTCCTGTTGCAGAACTTCCACCAGGTCTATATTACTATTACATTTTGAAGTGACAAATAGAGCAATCATTATATGTATTCATATATTTTTTTATGAGATAGGTCTGCAAACGAGCTGACGGATTACCTGATGGTAAGCAATCGGTGCCGCCCATGGACATCCGCAACACCAAAAGATTTATGAGTGTTTCGGATATTTAAGGACTGGGAAGGGATAGAAGGGGTAGGGATTGGGCCCCCCGTAACCTCACTCACACGGCGAAATAGAGCTCTGTTTGTTTTACGCCGGTTTTCTTAGGCTGTGGCATATATTTCGGTCGAGCCGGCCCAATCGTGCCGAAGCTCTCCCACGCTTAAGACACATTAACAATCACGTGAATCAACACTTAAGTTGTGTTTCGTCGATTTTCTTTAATAATTCACCAATTCCGGAGTAATGTCCATATTAATATATACGTTTCGGATCAATGACCCCATTTCAATCTACCTACTCCGATCACTGATGATGACCGAGGCCAAACCCCTGTAGTCCTTTTCCCCCCACTCCCTCAACCTCAAATCCCTAACTACCTACAAAATATGAGTGTCCATGAGCGGCGCGGATTGATTACCACCACGTAATCAGCTCGTTTGCCGACCTATCTATCAGACAAGAAGAAATACATAAATATTCGAATCATACATGGAACGAACTATTTATTATAGTCTGCCATATTCATTGTGTGCGTGATGACTGCGCCCCTGGTGGCCGCAACTATTCAGGACTTGTCATTGTCAAATCATGTCAACTAGATGATAAGATATTTTTGTGATATTGATTTTTGACTAGTTTTTATAACGAAATTGAAAAAAATAGCGTAAAAAGTCAGTGTGTATATTATACATAGCGATTTTCTTCCTCGTGAAAAATATGGATATTATAATACGTACGGGATTTTAATTCTCTTCACAGCAGCTATTCATTTTTGTCTTTGCTGTAATGTCCACTTTGATGTTGGAAACGTATAAAACTTGCACGAACTGTTTTTTCCATTGTTTTTAAAATTTACGACACAGCATGTACTATGAGCCACATCGCAAATTTTTACGTTTTATTTAAAATTACAAAGGAAGTTATGAAAATAAAGCAATTAGACACATGACAGCCCAGAATTAATTCACATTTCGGTCACGTCGTGCGCTACGATCGATTTGCCGTTCCCCACCACCCACTTCGCACATAGCGAATAGGTACACTATTATTATCATAGTTTTTTAATATAGTGTTATTATATATTGCAGGTGTACGACAAGTTCACGCAAATGGACGCGTTCATGTTCCCCGCTGTACTCAGTGGGAGCTTCGGCTTCATTTCCACTGAGGAAGAACTTACCCGGGTATGTATTTGCTAACGTAGCGTTGATTTAAGGCTCCAAAATTATTCGATTTTAATTCTAAAGGACAGTAAGAGAAAATGACGTTTTCTGACATAATTCAAGTATGACACATAATCAGCATATAAGTGCCCACCGCTGAGCAAAGGCCTCTTCTCACACGGAGAAGGTTTGAACATTAATCACCAAGCATGCTCAAGGCGGATTGGCGATTTAAAAATTATCAAGTCCTTTTCCTCACGATGTTTTCCTTCACCGTATGTCAGTGATGTCTATATAATCGCAGAAAGTCCATATAACTTTCGTCAGGTTTCGTACTTAAGTATATTTTCAATAAATTACAAATTACATTGATTGAAAATAATGACTTTCTCACGTGAATAAACTGAGAAAATAATAAAGTGGGCTTCGCCGAGACGTGCACACTGTTCCTAAATCCCGTTAAAAAATGGTTAACATTGAAATAATCCAGCTTTACCGTTTACTTATATCATCACTTTATATATATGTATGTATATATAACAGTATAATAAATCGCCATGTAAAAATATTTATTCAATTTATTAAAGACTGACTTACTTGAATCAACCAAAAAAAGCTCCTCTAGTTAGTAGAATAAGAGTCCCGTTGTAACTTGAAACCAGTAGAGCTCTACTCGATTTTTATAGAATAAAACGTTATTTTCATTAAATTAGGTGTCTCACAATAGTAACTACTTAACCAAAAATAGTTTTAAATTACTTTTAAACTTATGAAGTACTTTAAAAGCTTTTATTTACAACAGGTTTAAGGCCTCGAACGCCTCCTAATAATTAAAATGGTTATTTCAGCTGAAGAACTTCGCTTTGAAACACAAGGAGCAGTTGATGCCGATGTCGCAGACTCTGCAGAAGTTGGTGGACACGGCCACGTTCAGGATCGACTGGGTCAGGAAACACGCCGCCGGCATCAGCAAATGGTTCCAGGACTATGTCTCCGGTATGTATACATTAAAATTATAAGTGGGCAGTTCTCTAGATCAAAAATAAATTAATTTGACGTTTCAATACAATAAAATATTGATGAAACTTTAATTGTATTCATCGGTCCCTCGTTACACTAAATATTAAAATTTTATTTTTAATTAATTATTTTAGGTTTTATTTGATGCAAATATAACGTCACAGTTTGGAGTTTTAAACAAATTTCATAGAAAAGTATTGTTTTTGACATTTGGATAAAAGTATTATATTTGACTAGTTGGAAATTTCTACTACTACTACTACTACTACACGCGTAACTCCACCATTGTTGGCGATGCCTATTGGCAGAGCTTATTGCTTATCATCAGGTAATCCGTCTACTCGCCGACCTATCAAATCCTTGTGAAAGGCAATCGGAACCGTCCATGGAGGAATAAGGGGCGCATAGGGGGATGGGAAGGACTGAGCGTCAGAAAACCGGTGTCAAACAACGGTTGTCGTGTGAGAGATGTCGGTGTAATGCCTTATTTCCAAATACTTGTTTTACAAGATAATGAGAAGATGATAGTTAACTGTGCAGTAACTTTAATTGAAGTTAATATTTATTTCTTGTAGCCCATAAAAGGCGATATCATAAAAAGCCGAAATCGTCTTTAGCAAGATGGTATCGATATCGCATAAAAGCGAAGAAATGGGTTAGAAAATTATATTTCAATATTAAAAAATTAACGTAGATTTTATGACTTTCGATGTAATAGATTAATTAGTAATTTTTTTATTTTAATCATTTGTAGGTAAATGTATTATTGTTTAGATTCGGTCGTAGATGTAATTCGTATGCTTAATAGCAAAGAGGCATAATTCAAAAATAAGGTATTTGAATCTTAACAATTATGTTTCAATAATAAGGTTCAATTTTGATGTACCCTCTTTTATGAGTTATTTCTATTTTCTATTAATCATGCGAATGTATATAGATAGGGTGACAGGTAATTAGTGACCGATATTTCGACACGTTATTATGCATAATTATGATAACATACAACTGTACTGTAATACTGTTGTTCAGCTTCCACCTACACAGACACCAGTCTCTCTTTAATTTAATTAGTATTTTGTCCATTTTGCTTTGTGAGAAAAAAACAATAAACTAATTTTTATTTATACTATTCAGGTAAATCGACGCTATCACAAATAAGCACAGTGCCACCAGCTATACCCAGCCCAGCTGGCAACTCCAGTACTACGCCGAGCGACGCTACGCCGAGTGGCACTACGTCGAGTGGCACTACGCCGAGTGGCACTACGCGCGGCGACCCTACGCCAAGTAATACCACGACGCCCGCCGCAGCGTAACACTCACTCAGCGAATCTATAACTCGATGTAAATATTTTTTAAACGTTCCTAAACTTAGATAGCTGAAGCTAAAACATTTTGAAATGGCAGACTCCGTACTGTACTAAAAAAAAGTTTGTTCTAACCACTCTTTAACAACTTTTTAAGACAAGAACCTTACTAAAAAATGTATACTAATCATTGACAGCTTAAAAATGAGTACCAAAAATCTGTGTGTTCTTCCTTCGTTGGTCAGAATCTCAATATATTTTAGTTACTAGCGGCAAGTGTGCTAAATTTAAATTATTTGAATCACAACACTAGCCATAATACCACCTGAACTAGCAACATTTTAGTTAATTTACACTATTACTTAATAAAAAATAACTTTTAAGTTCTTGTTTAAATAATATAATAGTTTAGTATTAGACTTTGATATAATCAAGCCTAAGATGCGAGCTAGTCGCCAAATATTATAAAAAAAAACTAATATTACTTGTATTAATTATAATTAAAACGTCTTCGTCAATCAAATACACATACTTTCAAAGTATTACGTTAAAATGTAATCAGAACAGTGTGCACGTTATTTGGGCCTGACGAAATACAATAAAAAATATCGATTTAAACCTCAACAATCGATTCTCGCTATCGATAATTTCACATCTCTATTTCGATTCTTTAATGCGTTTATATTTTTAATGTATTATTTATAAGAATTTGTAGCTTTTTAATGTCTTTTATAATTAAATTATAATATACATATTTGCCAAATTCCAAATTATATTATTGCTATGTGGATTGTGAAGCTAAAGCTACAAGCATACTGTCACAAAAATATTTTATTAAGAATATATTGTTGGGCAAAATTATTGTACTTATTTAAAAAATGTTATTATATTTTTTATAATTAATTTATTTATAAATTCTATTCTATATTTAAGTGTTTTAGAATCACATGTTAGTTTTAGTACAAATATTAAATAAGTTTATAATTATTTTATTTTTGTTACCTTTGTTGTGGCCATAATTTACACACGAGATTTGTATACGACAACATCATTTGATTATTAAAACTAGACTTTATTGAAGGTGAAAAAACACACAATATTAATGGCTCACACACTACCAGAAACTTGATACACACAAAGCAAGAAAACATTTAATTCTGCAAATGCGTATTTTTGCTAACGTATCGACTGTCGATAAAATTTATACTTGGATAAAATTCAAAGTCATAATTGAATTACAACTAAACCACTGCTAAGCGATTTTATAACGTCAAAATAGAATAGCCCGTCACTGAGTGGTGTTTGTTTCAAAATGCAGATTCATGTTTCAATATATCGATACTATGCAATTCCCTACGAACTTCGATAATAAGCAACGTCAACAAATGAGTGAGGGAGACGACGGATACTATCTTTGTCTCTCTATCTCACTCTCTGTTAACTTGTAGCAAGTTTTTAATAAAAGAATCGTTATCTTTTATATCCCATGAAAAAATATTTACTAATGGCAAATTGTTTTAAAAATATATTTTTAATACCTATTTTAATGAATTTTGAGGTTTGACATTCTATGAAAAAGTTAATGATCTTTGAGAGAAGCTATTGATGCCATATTTTTATTAATGTTTAGTATATTCAGATTTTATATCCCATAAACAGAGTGGCATAATAAATAATGTTTAATAAAAATATGAATCATCGCTGAAAATTATCATTTACATACATACATTATTATTTACGAGTATAAAGAAAGGGTTGAACTCTAAACGTATATTTTTTGTAAAAAAAAATATCTCATTCTGTATAAAATGACTACATTCCTTTGTTAATTGTTTTTATTTATTACAGTTGGCAACACTATCAATTTAAAATCCAAATGAAACTAATCATCACTTTTTTAAATCATCTAATATAATCTGCAATGTCAAGTGTTACCATCATTTTAATGGTTTGTGTTGCCAATTGTAAATATTACATTATTTATATTAATCGTTCCTATTTATTATTAAAAATAAAAACTCGAATTTAAAAAATCTTATTTGTTAAAATATATTTGTGTAAAATTTTTATTATAAGTGTTTGCATGTGAAAGCTTAATGTTGAATAAATAATTTAATAAATGATTTATTTTATTGTTTCATTATTACATTATTTCACCCTACACACAGAAATCGATCACTACAATAAGTAATTTTAATGAATTATAAAATAATTATTCTTGAATAAAGTTAAAAAGTCATATTAAAATGATTTTGCGGCCGGTCTCTATCGTTATAATTGGGTTACAATACAATAAAATATTGTAAAATAACTACTTTCATTCATTGATCTCTCGATACTCATAATTTTGGATTTTTCTAGCTATTTTTTAAGAATCTTGTAAGCTAGGTGACGCAGAAATACTATGACGTCATAACTTGCGTCATGTATTGAATTTGTCTAGTTGGAAATTACAGTATTATCGAGGTGAATATTAAACCTAAAGAAAACAATATGAAATATCATGCTTCATACTGAAAAAAATAACATGAAATTCTACTGAACCTTTTCAGGCATGATATACTTACATTTTTGTTATCCTCATAAATAGTATGTTAGAATAATCAGCTAAAAGATGGCGATCGATGTAATTATCTACAAAAGCCCTCCTCGCATTCCTAAAGTTACATACATGAACAGAATAGGCCTTAAACCAATGTATCTATCTATACGTAGACATGTAAGTATATAAATAAAGATATATAGAATAACAAGTCCACTAATGAAAACGACAAAAAATATTCCTTAGGTACACAAAAAAAATCCTGCAATTAACAGGATTAATTATTAATTATAAATTATAATTATTATGATTATCGCCATTAACAATTAATGGCGATAATATACATACAAAAATATTATAACACTCGATACGTTCTCGATGTCTCCCTCCTGCCACGTCATTTTCCCTCCCTACAGTGAAGTATGGCAGCCCTACGGCCAGCGCGAAAATCAATAATCAGCTTGTAAACAAGCCGTACCAAATGTAGGGCAAACAATCGTTGTACAATTTTAATATTCCGCAATTATTGTTTCATTTAACCTCCATTTTATTTAGTTTGGTGTGTGTAGAATTAATTTAGACAAAATGGATACCGCAAATGTTGGATATTCGTACCATTTGCCTTCTGGCGGCTGGAACTATAAAATACGCAACACATTGTCGCAATTCAGTGATTTGTTTAGCGAATTTAATAAATATATCGCCCCGGCATATCATCACGATCGTTGTGAAAGGTATTTATAAGATTTTTGTGTTTTTTAGTGACTGACTTTTACGCTATTTTATATTTGCGGATATGAACGTAGATACCCAGACATATGATACCACTTGTATGATCATTATTATAACTTCAAAATTATTTTATGTAATTTATATTTTTATTATTCATCATACTTAACATTTAAATAATTAAAAATCTAGCAAATACTTTTTCAAAACGTTCCTTACTATAATTACGTTGTATTTACTTGGGAAGATACTCAATCACGTTTGAATAATTTCAGGTCTGTTCAAATGAGGATTTATTCAATGCACAAAGGGGAGTTCGTGATGGTATTTATTGCGTTTTTCGCTTGTTTCGGATTAGGTGTATTTATAGGATTAGCAGGTTGGTAAAATTTCTTATTACGCATTCTAATTAGCTTATTGTTTTTGTGATACCACGTGGAAAAAGCGCACTCTCGTTGTAAATTCCTACTTACATAAAAAATACGGAAGACGGAAAGTTGGAAGATATTCTCTATAAGTAAGTATACTTTAAAGTATTTGTTAGTAGGTATGTATATAGTATGACTAGTATCTCTATATTGTAGGTAGGTATTGAGTCCTTTTATGAGTTTTACGCACGATGTGTGGCGACACTGAGTCCGCAATAAAAGCCAATAACATCCTTAGCGCCTTCGTAGGTACCTACAACTAATTTGTGTTTGTTAACACACCCACGATATCTAAGAGCCGAAAATATTAAGACACGGTTTGAGAATATCTACGAGTAGGACGTTTTCTCTAAAAGAAAAAAAGCTCTGGTTTCGTAATGTAGTGCATAGTACCTTTTTCTTCTTGGATGAAGGTACACTACATATTATGTAACGAAAACTCTTCACTTGTTACCCAATTATGATTTATAGTGACCTCATTTATAGGGGCGAGCCATATATCGGCACAGTTCTAGATTGTATTACTCGATTGTAATATAGAAATATAGATCTTGCAATCACACACGCACATTTTTTTTGTTGATTTCTTAACTGGTCTTTGATGGTGTGTTGTTTAAAAGAGAAACTATTTCTCTGATCAAGCTAATAAGCCGGCGATGGTCTTTTTGTATTGAAGATCCAATCCAAATCCATCCCCGCCCCCAATCCCTAAATCTCCAAATCCACAAAAGATTAGCAACACATTCGTAACTCCTCCGTTATTGCGGCTGTCCATGGGCGGCGCTGATTGCTTACAATCAGATAATCCGTCTCCTCTTTTGCCAAAACCCACTTTTGAACTGTCTTGTCGAAGACTTTCAGTGAAGTTTACGTATTTTGGACGCTTCCAGGACCATCACCAACGATGACGACGTCGATCACAGCCTCGTCAGTGCTGACGAACACGAGCACTATCTACCAGGGACCCTTCCACCTGCACAGCAGAGCGCTCGGCCTCAGAGCGCAGCAACTGTGGCTCATGGCTGAAATACTCACCAATAATGATGACGGTATGTTTCTTGTTTGCTTATCAAACTTTTGTCAAGTAGTCAACTGTACAAATAATCAGTAGAAAGATTGTGGATTAAAGAAGTGGAAGAGCTAAATTGATGAAAATTCAACTGTGCGATTTTTGCAAGAATTTCTGCCTTGTACAGAAAACATTTTGGAATGAATTTCGGCGGCGGTATTTCTAAACTAATGGGATTAAACTTTCGTTCAAACTTTCTACAAACGAGGATTCTCATTTATAAAAGACGACCTACACGCCTGTGACCATCAGGTGATCCGTCTGCTCGTTAGTATCCAATTTCATTTTTTTTTTAAATTAGACGATAGCGTAATTTTATGATCACTTTATGGTTTAAATATAATGAATTCGATTTACTCGAGATTGCAAACGATAATCGTATTTCTATTATTTCAGAGGAGATATTCGACAAGAGCTTCCAAGTTAGTATTTCAATAGAGGGCGTGTTGGCCGACCACAGCAACACGGAGGAAATATTGTCCGAAGCGGATGCTCCCAATAGGTAAGTCAAAAAATCATAGCAAGGAATTATTAGCACTAAAAAAAATATCCTATTAAGAATCACACCGTAAAAATTTGACAGAGATATTCCCTGAAGACAACAATCCAATGTGGTTTACACAGCATAATGAAATCAAACAGATGAGGAAGCAATGAAAATTGAAAGGCATATTTGGTATATTCTAGCATCGCCTGATATTAGCGTCGCACTGACGTTCTTATGACTCGCACACAACTAAACCAGCCAATTAGATTCACGCCTACTATAAGTTTGCGTTACGTTAAGGCGATCGACATTTTTATGACGTTCGCTCTTTGGACAGCAACAAAATAACTAACCAATCAGAGTGCTTAACGCGGTAACGTTGCGTAAAAAGCATCGCATTAGGCAGACATTATATTAATAGCCAAAATTATAAACCAATTCTAAAGGAATTCAATAGAACTGATGTCAAAAATCGGTCTTAATCCGAAGATTTTGGATAAATTACGGCCACAATAATGGTATCCAAAGGCTCCCTTATAAGAGCTGATTATGAAAAAAATGAGTCACATTTAAAAGATATTTCATTAAACTTATCCTTGTCATTCCAGAACTCAACACCTGAAGTGCAAGAAGCGTATCTGCGAGGAAGTGATGATCCTGCACATTTTGTGGCTGGACTACACGCACTACGTGTTCAATATTAACTTTTATGGACTCAAGGAGTTCCACCACCGATATATTATTAGGGATATTGTATTCTATGTAAGTATACATACATATTAGCTACTATCTAACTAATAACTAAGAGTGGGTGAGCCAAGCTTTAAACGAATGGGCA